ATCATTCACACCCACATGACACATAACACCAGCATCATTCACACCCACATGATCGACATAAAACCACACATTTACACCCACATGATCACCCAAACACCACATCATTCCACACCCAAATTCAACAACACCAGCACATTCACACCCACATGATCAACATAACACCAGCATCATTCACACCCACATGATCAACATAACACCAGCATCATTCACACCCACATGATCGACATAACACCAGCATCATTCACACCCACATGATCGACATAACACCAGCATCATTCACACCCACATGATCGACATAACACCAGTCATTCACACCCACATGATCATCATAACACCGCATCATCACACCCCCAAAGATCATCATAACACCAGCACATTCACACCCCCATGATCATCAAAAACACCCAATTTTACACCCCCAGTCAAAAAAACCAGCAATTCCCCCCACATGATCGAATAAAACCAGCCATTCACACCCAATGTCAAAATAACACCGCTCTTTCCCCCCCTGATCAACATAAAAAACCGCATCATTCACACCCACATGATAACATAAAACCCCGCTCATTCCCCCACATTCAACATAACACCCATCATTCAACCCAAAATGACAACATAACACCACATTTTACACCCACATGATCAAATAACACCCATCATTCACACCCACCCTGTAAATAACACCAGCATATTCACACCACTGATCAACATAAACCCCGCATCATTCACACCCACATGACAAAATAACACCAGATCATTCACACCCAATGTCAATAACACCGCATCATTCACACCCCCATGACGACATAACACCACATTTCACACCCACAGATAAAATAAACCAGCTCATTCACACCCACTGATCAACATAACACCAGCATCATTCCCCCCCCCCCCCCCCCCCCCCCCCCAAAATAACCCCAGCATCATTCACACCACTGATCACATAACACCAGCATCATTTACACCCAATGATCAACTAAAAAACCCAAACATTCAACCCCCAGATCAAAAATAACCCAGCATATTCACACCCCCAGATCAAAATAACACCCGCATCATCACACCCCCATGAGACATAACACCAGCATCATTCACACCACAGATCATCTAAACCAGACATTCACACCCCCATGATCGACATAACACCAGCTCTTTTACCCCACGATGACATTAACAAGCATCTTACACCCACAGTCGCAAAAAACACCAGCATTTCACACCCCCATGATCATCAAACCCAGCATCATTCACACCCCATGCATCATAAAACCAGCATCATTACACCCACATGACATCATAAACCCATCTTACACCCACTGATCGACATAACCCAGCTCATTCCACCTTGATCGACATAACACCAATCTTCACACCCCCAGTACATAACACCGATCATTCAACCCACAGAAAAAAAACACCCGCATCATTCCACCCCATGTCGACTAACACCAGCATCTTACACCCACATGATCAAATAACACCCGCATTTTCCAAACCCCCATGTCATCATAACACCAGATCATTCACCCCTGATGAATAACACCAGCATCATTTACACCACATGATCGACTAACCCAGCATCATTCACACCCACATGAAAAAAACACAGCATCATTCACACCCCCATGATCATCATAACACCAGATCATTCCCCCCACATGATCATATAAAACCAGCATTTATTCAACCCACAGATCGACAAACACCAGCATCTTCACACCCACATGATCGAATAACACCACATCATTCACACCCACAGATCAAAATAACACCACATCATTTTACCCCCACTGTCATATAACACCAGCACATTCACACCCCATGACATCAAACACCCCGCATCATTTACCCCCACTGAGACTAACACCACATCATTCAAACCCCCTGATCAACTAACACCCGCATCATTCCCCCACCCACTGATCGACATAAACCAGCACTTCACACCCACAGACAAATAACCCAGCAATTCACACCCCCATGACGACATAACACCAGATCTTACACCCCCATGATCAACTAACACCGCTCTTCACACCCCCATATCAAATAACCCAGATCTTCACACCCACATGATGACATAACACCGCATCATTCCCCCCATGATAACATAACCCACATCATTCACACCCACTGATTTAACATAACACCACTCATTCACACCCACATGATAACATAACACCAGCATCATTCACACCCACATGTTTAAAATAAACCGCATCATTCACCCCACATTTCGGACAACCCGCACATTTAACACCCACATGATGACATAACACCAGCATCTTCACACCCCATGATCGAATAAACCCGCATCATTCACACCCACTGATCGACATAACACACATCATTCAACCCCCCTGATCAAAAACACCCCATCTTTACCCCAAAAGATCAACTAAAACCCATCTTCAACCCACAGATCAACATAACACCCGCATCATTCACACCCAATGATAAAAATAACACCCGCATTTTTCCACCCACAGATCGACATAACACCAGCCAAAATTTAACCCACATGACGAATAAAAACCAGCATCATTCACACCCACATGATCGACATAAAAAACCCCATCATTCACACCCAATGATCGACATAACACCAGCATCATTCGCACCCCAGATCGCATAACACCAGCATCATTTCCCCCCACATGACGACATAACACCAGCATATCACACCCACATATCGACTAACACCGCTCATTCACACCCACATGATCGACTAACACCGCTCATTTCCCCCCACTGATCGACATAACCCAATCATTCACACCCACATGATCATCATAACACCAGCATCATTCACACCCACAGAATCATAAACACCAGCATCATTCCACCCCCATGATCAACAAACCCGCATCATTTTCCCCCCAAATGATCAACATAACACCCATCATTCACACCCACATATAAAAACCCCATCATTCACACCCACAGTCAAATAACACCAGCATCATTCACACCCACAGACATCTAACACCGCATCGTTACAAAACCCACATGATCGACAAAAAACCCGCTCATTCACACCCACGGGTCGACATAAACCAGCTCATTCCACCCCATGTCATCATAACCCAGCATCTTCACCCCAATGATCATCATCCCAGCTCATTCACACCCACATAATATAACACCCATCATTTACACCCCCTGATCGACATAACACCGATCATTCACACCCACATGATCGACATAAAAACCAGCATCATTTACACCCAATGATATCATAACCCAGCATATTCCCCCCCACATGATCAAAATAACACCAGCATATTCAAAACCCACATGATCGAATAACACCAGCATCATTCACACCCACATGAAAACTAAACCAAAAATCATTCACCCCACATGATCATCAAACACCAGCATCATTCCACCCACGATCGAATAACACCAGCATCATTCACACCCACTGATCGAAAACACCAGCATCATTCACACCCACTATCGCAAACACCAATCATTCACACCCACATGATCATCATAACACCACATCATTACCCCACATGCATCATAACACCAGCATCATTCACACCCCTGATCGACAAACCCAGCATCATTCACACCCACATGATCGACATAACACCGCAATTCACACCCCATGACAAAATAACACCAGCATTTTTTACACCCCATGATCAACATAAAACCAGCATCATTCACCCCACATGATGAATAACACCACATCTTTACACCCACATGATGAAAAACACCAGCATCATTCACACCCACTGATCGACTAACCCAGCATCATTCACACCCACATGACAAATAACACCAGCATCATTCACACCCAATGATCACATAAAACAGCATCATTCACACCCCCAGATAACATAACCCAGATCATTCACACCCACATGATATCAAAAACCGCTCATTCACACCCACTGATAAATAACACCAGCATCATTTACACCCAATGACGACATAACACAGCATCATTCACACCCACATGTCAACATAACACCAGCATCTTCCACCACTGTCATCATAACCCAGCACTTCAACCCACTGATGCAAACACCAGCATCATTCACACCCACATGATGACATAACACCAGCATCTTTTACACCCACATGATAAAAAACCAGCATCTTCACCCCACAGTCGACATAACACCACATCATTCACAAAACCCCATGATCAAAATAACACCGCATCAATTTACCCCCCATGTCAAAATAACACCAGCATCATTCACACCACTGTCAACATAAACCAGCATCATTTACACCCACATGATCAAAATAACACCACTCATTCACACCCCCATGTCACATAACACCAGCATCATTCACCCCACATGTCAACAAACCGCTCATTTAACCCCCAGATCACATAAAACCAAGCATCATTTACACCCAATGATCACTAAACACAGCATCATCCCCCCCCCATGACACATAAAAACCCCCAAAATTTTTTTAAAACAATGAACAAATATAACACTTTATCGGAGTGATTAATATTCGAGGCGACGGTCTGGGATTACCAAGTTGTCGCGAAAATTTCCCTGTCTTCTAACAACATGTTAGTTGTTCCACTATAATCTACCTTGCCCACAATTACTATCGCATTTACTTTGTCTGCTTTCGTAAGATGAAGTTTAGGATCTTTCCTTAATTCAGTTCATTACCTTTGTAAATTGTGAATTCATTACCTCTGTAACTTGCTCAGCTATCAAAACTTTGAGGCCCAGTCCCTGGACCAATTATGTACCTCTGTAATCTTTTGACTACCGCCCACAGGATGGGTATGGGGTGCATAATAAACATATTAAACTAAAACTCCTTAATTCATGGTATGACTTAACAAATCTTTGAGGATAGTTCAGTTCCACAGGTTTGAGCTATTACCTGGAGTTTACCTGGAGAGGCTTCCGGGGTATGTTCAGACCTGTGGAACCGATCATAAACCTCTGGTCAGTATTGGCCGAGCGGCTGGTAGTTGTGTTGTAGCTGCTTGCTCGGAAAATTACCTATATAGATGGTGATAATGGTGCTGAAGACTTTTGGAGATGGTGTTACTGGTGCTGAAGACTATTTGGAGATGGTGTTAATGGTGCTGGAGACTGTTTAACAGCTGGAACCTGCCGCAGCTGCAGTAGATGAGTGCCACAGATGGCAGAAGTGTAATACTGCAATGTAGGTGCAGACAGCAGCGAATGTGAGAGGCAAGTGACAGAATTATGTTGGTCACTGACATCTATATAGTGTGTGTGTGTGTGGGTGTAGCCAGACTAACACCTGTGTGTTATATTGACACTACCTCCCTAGACGGGTTACTGACATATATTACGTTATAGAAAGTTTTAACACCAGTATACCATTATTGTTCTGGTCTTCATATTACAAGATAAACTTAATCTGTTTCGGAGAGATTAAACTGCCATGGTTTTTAGCACCAGGATTTTTTTCAAATGGCTTATATTTTTAAATTGCCGGGACTATTTCAGTTCCATTCATTAAACCTATTTAAATTTCTTACATTTCTGGATTGTAGACAATGTGTTACTCGTACAGGTGTATGGAAATATAATACAGTTTTATGTAAGAAATCAAAATTGCAGTATATGTCTAAAAAATAATTATTTTAACCATTTCAAGAGCTTAGGAATGTAGGTTTATTATTTAAATACCAGATATTTGTTATGAAGCGCTAGACCCGTGTGGGTGTGTCAGCTAGTGGCTCCTCCTGACCAAGACAAACACTCATTATATCACCAATAATTCTTTAATTGCTGCTTTCTTTTCTCTGTTCTTGTGCCTTTTATTATTATTATTATTATTATTATTATTATTATTATTATTATTATTATTATTATTATTATTATTATTATTATTATTATTATTATTATTATTTTAGGTTTGAGGCCTATCAACTGTATGAGGGTCATTTGGGATGTAGAATAAGGATAAATTAATATTCCCTTTATGTCAATGCAGACTAAGATTTCACACTCCCAGACCTTAACAAATAATGTCAACACGGGAGTTTAGCATCAGTTTCACAACTGACGCCCACACAAACTTTCTACAATTTAGAGACAAAGAATATTGGCCAAAAATGTGATGTTAATATATGTATATGCATAGATTTTTTTTGCACAGCAGAAATCTGAAATCCATTAGTTCCCTCAAGATTTACTGTAATTCTAAGGTCTTTATGGAACTAGACTTTGTTTGGCCGCCTGATCTGAGGAAGTTATCGTTAATCCCAGCCTCTTGCCGCCTGATCTGAGGAAGTTATCGTTAATCCCAGCCTCCTGCCGCCTGATCTGAGGAAGTTATCGTTAATCCCAGCCTCCTGCCGCCTGATCTGAGGAAGTTATCGTTAATCCCAGCCTCTTGCCGCCTGATCTGAGGAAGTTATCGTTAATCCCAGCCTCCTGCCGCCTGATCTGAGGAAGTTATCGTTAATCCCAGCCTCCTGCCGCCTGATCTGAGGAAGTTATCGTTAATCCCAGCCTCCTGCCGCCTGATCTGAGGAAGTTATCGCTAATCCCAGCCTCCTGCCGCCTGATCTGAGGAAGTTATCGCTAATCCCAGCCTCCTGCCGCCTGATCTGAGGAAGTTATCGTTAATCCCAGCCTCCTGCCGCCTGATCTGAGGGAGTTATTCTTAATCCCAGCCTCCTGCCGCCTGATCTGAGGAAGTTATCCTTAATCCCAGCCTCCTGCCGTCTGATCTGAGGAAGTTATTCCTAATCCCAGTCTCCTAAACCTCCATGTAAATTTATTTAGGTGCAGATGAATAGTAGTTATACATCAAAACTAGGACGAGGCTGAGAGGCTGTAGAATAGCTCTCAAGGGACCTAAGAGCTATTGCTCAACTCTCCCAAGAAGTCCAGGAACTGGAATCAACATCTTGAAGAACCCCAGAAGGTTGAGCTCAACGTATTCAAGAAGTCTAGCACCTGTCGCTTAACATCCTCAAAAAAAAAGTCGTAGTTCAACGCCTATAATTCATGGTATAACCTAACAAATCTTTGAGGATAGTTGTGTGTTAAAGAAAGTGGCAGCTCATGGCATTGGGGGAAAAGTGCTCTCGTGGATCGAGTCATGGCTCACCGACAGGAAGCAGAGTGTCCATAAATGAGGACGTAAATGGTGATCTGTAACAAATGGAGTTTCAGAGGGAACGCCAAAGGTCTGACCAAAGTTCAGAAAAATGAATATATTATTAAAAGACAGGGGTACTTACGTGTCCCTTGATGATATGAACCATCGTCTAATTAACTCACATCAGCGTTAACGGTTTGGAACCGATCCCTTGATGCATTGAAAAGTTATTGTCATTAAGGGTAAAATCTGTCCAGATGAAATGCCAAAAACTTTTCAAGGAAAAAAATTTTTACTTTTTTTTTAAAAACAAAAAATTAGCAAATTTGTGTTTGAAAACACCCAAAAAACAACCCCAAAACCTTCTAAAGTGAATGTACCAGTGATGAAAGCTTAAAGCCGACAAGGGGCCCTTTCCCTTAGGTTACCCTTTTTCCTTTTGGTGTCAGTCCCAAAGGTCATCAACACTATCCAGTGTCAGTCCCGGGTCTCAACACTATCCTGGTGTCGTCCCCAAGGTCATAAACACTTTCCGGTGTCAGAAACCAAAGGTCATCAACATACCCGGATTCGTCCCAAAAGGTAAACCACTATCCGGGTGTCGAACCAACCCCCCATAAACACTTTTTCCGGGTTGTCATCCAAAGGGCATCAACATCCCCCTGGAGTCAGTCCCAAAGGTCCCCAACACTTTTCCTGGTGCATTCCCCAAGGTCATCAACACTACCCTTTGGTATCAGTACAAGGTCCCAACACTTCCTGGTGCCCAGTCCCAAGGGTTCATCAACACAAACCTGGGCCCAGTCCCAAGGTCACAACACTTCCGGGTGTCGTACCAAGGTCATAAACCCCCTACCCCTTGGGGGCAGTCCCAAAGGTCCCAACACTATCCGGTGTCAGTCCCCAAGGTCATAACACTACCCGGGGAGCCCATTTCCAAAGGGCATAAACCACTGCCTTTTTCAGTCCCAAGGGGTCATCAACCCAATCCTGGTTTCAGTACCAAGGTCATCAACCATCCGGGAGTCAGTCCCAAGGTCTTAAAACACTATCCGGTTCAGAAACCCAAAGGTCATCAACACTTTTCCTGGAGTAAAGACCAAGGTAAACCAACACTATCCTGGGGTAAAGACCAAGGTCATCAACACTATCCGGGTCGGGTTCCCAAGGCCCATCAACACTACCCCGGGTTGTAAATCCCAAAAGTAATCCAACTATCCGGGTTTGCATTTCCAAAGGTCATAACATTTTCCTGGGGGTCAGTCCCAAAGGTCTAAACACAAACCTGGGTCATTTCCCAAAATCTTAAAACACAACCTGGTGCCCAGTCCCAAAGGTAAAAAAACACTATCCTTTTTGCCCGTCCCAAGGTCATCAAAAAAAAACCCGGGGAGTCACTCCCAAAGGTCATAAACACTATCCTGGGTGGTAGTCCCAAGGTCATCAACACTTTCCTGGATCAGTACCAAAAACATAAACACTATCCTGGTGTCAGTAAAAGGTCACAAACTTTCCTGGGTCTTTTCCCAAGGCATCAACACTACCCTGGTGTTAGTCCCAATTTCATCAACACTACCCCTGGAGTCAGTCCCAAAGGGGTCATCAACACTTTCCTGGTGTCAGTCCCAAGGGTCATCAACACAAACCGGGTGTCAGTACCAAGGTCTTTAACACTACCGGGCTGTCAGTCCCAAAGGGTTCATAAACACTATCCTGGTGTAGTCCCCAAGGGTTTCCTAAACCCACAAATCCGGGTTGTCAGAAACCAAGGTCATCAACACTATCCTGGTGTCAGTACCAAGGTCTTCAAACTACCAGGTTCAGTTAAAGGTCTTTCAACACTACCCTTTGGAGTCCCCCCCAAAAGGTTTCCAATCAAAAATTTTCCGGGTGTAGTCCCAAGGTCATAAACACACCCTGGTGCCCAGTAAAAATTAAAAAAACCCACTACCCGGGGGTTCAGTAAAAAGGTCATAACCCAAATTCCGGGGTGTCAGACCGGTCATCAACACTATCCTGGGACAGTCCCAAGGCATCAACACTTTCCGGGTGTCATTAAAAGGGCCCATCAACAAATCCTGGTGTTAGCCCCCAAGGCCCAAAAAACCCTTCCTGGTGTTAGTACCAAGGCCCATCAACACTATCCGGGTTTTATTACCAATTTCATAAACCCTTAATCCTGGTGTTTAGTCCCCAAGGTCTTCAACATTTTCCTGGGCAGAAAACCAAAGGGCCCATCAAACTATTCGGGTTTGTCGCCAAAGGTCATGAACACTATCCTGGTGTCATTTCCCCAAGGGTTTAAATTTTTTTCCCTTGTTTCAGCATAGGTCTTAAACACTATCCGGGTTTTGAAACAAGTTCATAAACCCCCTTTGGGGCGCACCAGGCCCATAACACTACCCCTGGGGCCGTACCAAGGCATCAACACTATTCTGGTGTCAGTACGAAGGTCTTTCCAAAAATTTTATCCGGGGGTTCAGTTAAAAGGTAAATTACTCCCGGGGTTTTCAGCACTGGGTTCATGAACCACACCCTGGTGCAGTATCAAGGTCACATTTCCCCTTTTGTCAACCCCAAAGGTCTTTAAATCCCTGCCGTCACCCCGGGTAAAACACTCATTTTATCATTATTGTTTCAAAAAAACGTTTTACAAACTAAAAATGGATACATATTTTGTTTTTGTTTAATGGGGGGGAAGTGGAGCGAAATGGGTACTGGAATAGAAATTAGAGAGGGAGTTTAAGGGCTGAGGGCATATGGAATTTCGGATGGGCCCAATTTAACCATGCAATAAAACCTTTTCCCGGTTTAAATTGCCAGGGTTGGGTGGGCATGACTTTCATTAATTTAAATAGAGTATTTTTTTTTTAAAGTTTTATTTACTTACTTGCTAGAATTATCAACAAAAAAGTGGTTTCTCAGACACTTTATTTAATTATGGTATTTATCAAATTTTAAAATAAAAAATTTTACAATTTTTTTAAGTTTCCTTAAAAATGGACAAATTTGTCCCTTTGGGAAAACAACCCCCTTTTCAAAATAAAATTAGGCTGGAAAAGGTGGGGGGTTGAAGAAAGATTATGTAAGAAAAACTTTGTTTATGGTTT